GGCGAAGGGGAGGGGAGGAAGAGAAACAGCTTCCAATGCCCACAATGAACTCTTTCTTGATTACATACTTTGAAATACTAGCTGCCACCTCTCCTCACCTCCCATCTGGGATCTTTCAGAGTACATATTGCAGAATGGGCAACCAGTTGCACAGGTATATACAGTAAAATGGGTATTCACAGTAAAATGGGTATTCACAGAAGTGGAGTAAATGCTTTATTTATCGGAAAAGAGCAAAAAAGAGCCTAATATGAAATTAAATATATAGAACTATTTCCTCTTAAAATTTTGCTCCTTTTTCATAGTGTGTGTAACTTTTTACATACTTCCCACATCTGTCACTATATTTGACTGAATATTTTAAGATGTGTGCAGACATACAAGTCGCTTACAGCAAAGTTGAAATCTTAACGTGCTTAGTAGCATGGTTGATTAGGTTGATTCACTTTAGTGTGTAAAGAAGGGGTGGGCAATAATTTTTGAAGGGGGAAGGGGGCCACTTCATGAATTTCAGAAATGGTCATGGGCCACCCCAGAAGGGGTAGACTTTGTGTGTTCCCCTGCCCACTGACCCTGATTGGTCTGGGGGCAGGGGAGCATGTGAAGTCTTTGGCCCCCACCCCTGCCCTGCCAGGGGTGCACAATGCTTAGAGAGAACCAACAGCTGTTTTGAACAGCTGGCGGTTCCCTCCAGTGCCATGCCCCCATGGCAGTGGGGAAAAGACCTTGCACACTCCCCCATTCCCAGGTCTCCATTGGCCTGGGAGCGGGGGAGCAGCAGAGTGGCAGCGGATTGGATCAGAGTAAGGATGTTAAGGACTAGTCGATTAGTCACTTCCCCCACCTCCTTTCTACCTCTATCAGATAGCCGCAGCAAAGGGGGCAGAGAGGAAAGGGTTTTTTTTTCCCCAAAATGGCAGCACCGGGTACAGGCTCCGTGCAGTGCTGCTGCTTTGAAATGCAGCTGTGGCATTTCAAAGGGGCAGCTCTGTGTGGAGCCCGGGGTCAGCTGACCCCGAGTTCTATGGAAATGCCGCACAGAGCCCAGGATCAGTTGGGGAATCTCTCACTGACCCCAGACTCCATGCAGGCACTTCCGCTTTGACGTGCACAAGAGCCCCTGCCAGGGACTCTTGTACGTTTCAAAGCCGGTATACCACGTTCAGCCTGGGGCCAGCGGGAAGTCCCACTGACTCTGGGCTGTACGTGGAGTTCCAACTTTGAAATGAGGAAATGCCTATCCACTAGTTGATGGAATTTCCATCAAGTAATTGACTAGTAAATTCATCAGTATTTAACATTCTTAAGTTAGAGGGTGGGCGGGCTGGATCCGGCCAACAAAGTCTGTCTTGCTCACCCCTGGAGTACAGTGTCTGGGAGGGGTTGTAACCTGGGGAAGGATGGGGTGCATCGTCTGACCAGAGGTTGTAACCTCAGGTAAGAGGCTTCACTGAGTGGAGTGCAAAGCAGAGGCAGGGCATGCAGAGAGGTGGATCTGGGGGGCTTAGCTCTCAGTGTAAAGGGTATGAATGCGGATATTGAGCTAAAATACCTTAAAAATAAAGTAATGGTTAACAAGGTTAAGTGTTGTGTCCATATTTCTCCTAAGCCCCCGATATTCCCCTCCGCCATCTGCAGTGAACTAAGAGGATTCCCAAATGCTGTTCCCACCCCAGTAGCTGGGATAGATTTCAGCAATATCTTAACTTTGAATTTCCGCAGCAAACAAACTTTGTTCCTCCCTAGGGGCGAGGTCAACCAAATTAGAATCAAATTGAAATGTTCAAGATTTTTTTGTTTGCTAGCTGGAGAATAAAGTTATGTAAGTGATTTCAGCAAAAGTCAACGGCATGTCTTTTAAATGTTAGAATACATATAACTTTACAGCTTCAAGAGAAATAGGAATTTACCTCCATTTGTTCTTTGGAAGTCAGGCTGTTCTGTCTGGTTCCATTTGGTTTTGAGCTTATTTCTATAAATCATAAATAAAGTGAAATGAAAAGTCAGGTATTCACATCTTTTGTACGATTCACATTAGGATTTTTTTTTTTTAAATTGGTGTTGCAGTAGCAGGCTTGCCAACAGCAATTCTGGGCCCAAAGGCAGAACAGTAAATGGGCCCCCCATCCCTCCCAGGCACTCACAAGTTGTGCCCACATGGACACAGTCTGCTGATATTTGGGTGGTGCTGCGCCTGTGCTGGCTAGTACCCAACAAGATGCCAGCTGCACGACTAGGCGCTGTTAACCAGCACAGCCAGATCTTCCACATGGCCACCTGGCAGGGTTGCCGACTGTAATCATGCAAACCCAGGGCCGGATTAAGACCTTTAGAGGCCCTAAGCACTGAAAAGATTGTGGTACCCCCCCATATGTAATTCAAAATAAAAATACTATACTGTAAAAATCTCCTTTTTTTTTGGTGCCCCAAGCACATGCTTAGTCTGCCTATTGGGTAATCCAGCCCTGTGCAAACCCAAAGACCCTGGCCCTACCTCTGGCGCGACACCTTCCCTGAGGCCATGTCCCTTCTCCAAGGCCCCACATCCAGTCACTATAACTCCTCCCTCTAACACTTGTTCCCTCAAAGTCTCACCATTGGGGCACTGGAGAGGGCACAGGCTCTGGGCTGAGTGTTGAAGTACAAGGCGTGTGTGCGTGCGTGTGTATATCAGTGCTTACCTAGGGAAGCTCCCAAAAAGTGACTGACATCTGTTTGGCAGCAGTTCCTAGGTGGAGCCAGGGGGGTCTCTGCACACTACTGCATGCAGGCACCTCCTTCACACTTCCCATTGGCTGTAGTTCCCAGCCAATAGGAAGCTTTAGAGTCTGCACTTGAGGAAGGGGTAGCACATGGAGACCCTGGGGTGGGGAAGGTCTTGAGGACCACAGCGACCTACCAGCCACTTCCAGGAGTGACAGGCAAGAAGCCTGTCTAGCCTTACTGTACTGAGGTCTACAGCAGCCCCCCCACACACTGTTTTAATCACCCTGAGCCCTTTGCTGGATCTGGGCAGTAGCACCTTTTATTATATGCACTGAACAGACAGACCTCCCTGTCCCAGAGATTTTACTCCTGTTCACAAAGTTAAAGATAAGTTATGGTATCCTGACATGCTCCTGTGTCTGGAACAGCCCCTAATATGAACTTAAATCAGTCCTATACAGCTAGCTGTCTCAGTACACACCAATACAAGACCATAGGTACATATTCAGGAGAGGTAGCCTCTCCTGCTACTATAGGTATGTTCTGTTTTTAGTGCACTAGCTCAGAGTTAGCACAGGAATGTTTCCTTGAGCTAGATCATCTCCAGCTCAAAGTATAGATATGCCCTTAGTTTTCATTAACTACATTCATATTTTTATTTAATCTGAAATGGTAGGTGAACATATACTAAACATTACAAAAGCAGATAAATATTTAATATGCTGCCAATGATTTAAAACACCTATACTAAATCAAGTTAAAATTAATGTATGAAACTAAGTGAAAAGCAGCTGTATTTCTAACAGAAAAACTTGTTGTACCAGTAAGCCTCATGTCAGTTTTCAAACACCATGATTCCAAGTTCAGAATACATTCTGTATGATTTTAGAATACTTCTATTTTTACTTAAAGATGGTAATTCAGTATATATGAAATTAGACATTTAAATTAGTGACAGATACCTAACTCCTACATTTAATTTTAGCTGTAAGATGAAATACTGTAGCTAGTTGGTCTGGGAATAATTATTAGTTAGTTCTACAAATCAGTGTGCTGAGAAAGCGTAAGGCAAGGGGGAAGAATGAGCTATGGTAACTCCTACCATAAGGATAACCCTCCCTTCTATGTAAGATGCTAAAACGTGCATCATTGGAGAAAAGATTACAAGTGTTATTTTTCCCTAATGTAAACAGGCCCTAAATATTGAGCTATGCTTTTGCTAGAGTTTGACAATCCCATCATATACATTTATACTAAAGAGTTTTTAACAACTTGAAGTAGGAGCATTAGAAATTCTATGGGTAAGAGTTTTAGATTCTACATTTGACCTTATCCCGCCATATCAATTTATTTTTCTATTTCTTAAAAAGAATTTTGCTGCTGTGTGGTAGGCCTACACACAAATAAAATATTTCTATAGCGCTGATGATAATAATCATCATGCTGTTACCAACACTTAGGCAAGGCTGTTTTTAGACCGATATGAATGAGATGATAGTAGGCTTTTAAAAGTACTTCAAGGTATTAAATAACCTAGTGTATAGTTTATGACAAGCTCCAATGCAGACAACTTCTAGTAGCAAAATGTTTCATTCCTAATTTCAATTATTTTTATAAATGTATTTTACAGCTAAAACTTCTTTAGAAAAAGTGTTTCAGGTATTTCTACTTCATAGCATTCAATCAGACGATGGCATCCTGGAACATGTAATAAGTCAGCAGGGCAAGAAATATGAAAACTGAAACGTCTTTGTAACAGCTGAAGAATGAGGTCCTGTATCTGAAGAGACAGATGCTATACAGTGAGGTTATCTGACCTGATTCCGAGTCACTGGTATCTGAGGAGCTAGAATCACTGCTACTGCTACTGCCAGAGTCTGAAGAGGAGCTACTGGGGCTACTCTCACTCAATCGGCTTGGTCTGCCAATCATCTTTGGTACAGCGTTATCTTCAGCTACAAGATGAGAAAAGGAAGTTAAAAATACATAGAGCCCTGAAAGTCTTATGAATATAAATGTTAAGATTAAGATTGCTACATTCAGGTCTTTGCTCCAGCTGAGTGACTGTCAGGAAGGACAACCTTTGCTAAATCTATTCACTCTTCAAGGAGAATAATCTGTGTCTGACATTGCTTTGGGAACTCTGGCCCCTTGGGCTGCATTTAGACTGGAATGATTTTGCGTAAAATCTTGCTGCCTGTCTACACTGGCCATGAGTATTTGTGCAAGAACACTGACTTTGTAATATACAAAAATCAGTGGTTCTTGCGCAAATACTCTGACAGTCCCGCTCAGGGATAAGCCCTCTTGCGCAAGTATTCTTGCCAATGTAGACAGCAACGCTAATTTCTTGTGTAAGAGAGCATGAAATGGCCATCGGAACTTTCTTGCACAAAAGAGCGTCTACACGGACGCTTTTGCGCAAAAGCAAATCTTTTGTGCAACGGCACATGCCAGTATAGACGCTCTCTTGCGCAAATACTTAATGGAAAAACTTTTCTGTTAAAAGTATTCACACAAAATCATGCCAGTCTAGAGACAGCCTACTCTCTCCTTAGGGTAGTAGAAATATCTTTTTGGTATTAAAAAGGATGGGAAGAACAACTTAGCTCAGTTGATAAAGACTTGGAGAGAGTTTGACAACAGTCCTTGTTTTAGCAGGCTGAAACTCCTGAATAACTATTTTAAGGAGAAAGCTGCAATTACCGGCTAGATATGGCACCATCAGCAATAGATTTTGGGGAAAAATGTGTGTCTGCATACCATACATATTCTCACAGAATAAGATACACAAGCAAAAGCATGAAATAGCCCCCAAGGTAGATGTGAGATACACATTTCTATTACAGAAATTATTACACCTCGGTCACATTTGGTACTGAAGCCAGTCAAACAGGATCCTAGATTAGACCGACCACCAGTCCGGTACGGCAATTTAGATTTCCCTAAGTTTGTAAGAGTGTTCCTGGACAGAAGACACATCAAGGTAAAGAACAAAAATAGCCAGCCACACAACAGAATTCCAGTTCAGGTATTGGTTTTCTTCCACTAGACTATGCAGAGTGACACAACCCTTTTTAATAATAAATAATAAAATCTAACCATATTTAATGTTTTCTTCCACTCTTAAAATAAGGAAGAAAATCATATTGCACTTTCCGAAGTGAATGCAAATAGGCTTGTCTCCCTCTTCCAGGAACCAGTAAAGGGCCATTGAAGTAAATTGATCAGAGATTTCATGGTTCTTTTTCTTCTCCAGAGTTCATTACCCTTTTTCCAAAATACAAGATTCAGAGTGTGCACTGATTTTGTACTATGCAGTGTTTCTCTCCAGAAT